AGTTTATTAAAGTTTATTACAGTTTATTATAGTTTATTAAAGTTTATTATAGTTTATTATAGTTTATTATAGTTTATTCTAGCTTCATATAGTTGAGTCAGATCAGCTCAGATCAGATATGAATTTATTTATCTCAGTGTTGTCAGCAGCAGCACACAGAAATACACACATACTAGAAAGAAACATTTACGTATAAGGAATCGTATAAAAATACATATATACAAAAAGAATAGTGCAAGAACAGAATATAAAGATGAGGATATGTAGGAAATATATATTATATAGATATATATATTATTTTTATGTGGCTGTGTATGAAGTTACATGTATATATGTGTATATACGTGTCCATAATATACATGTAATATATATGTGTGTGTATGTATAGATGTGTATGCATGTGTTATGTATTTTGTCTGTCACTCACATGAAGTCTTATTATTTAATTTCATTATTTATATATATTGTTATTGTCTTTTCTTTCTCTGTTTCTTTTGCGATGTTCTTAATAAAGAGTGAATGACTGAATGGTTTAGTATAATATCCATCCATCATCGATTCACCGCTCAGCCCTCACCAGCGTAAATCTGCAGCTTCCAGTTCAGACTGCAGGCTGCTGGACCCTGTCCCTGTTTCAGGTGCAGCTCGTCTAACAGTCACCTGGAGCTTCGCCTCCAGCAGGTGTCAACGAGGCCGAGCACAGCGACACCTGAAGACGTCCTCGGACCAGGTGAGTCTCATTTCTAACATCTGAGCATTTTGAGGAAGCAGCTGAGTGAAGCTGCAGAGATTGGCTGACTGATGACAGCTCTGATGCTGTCAGTCCATTCTGCCGTGTGATTGGCTGAAAGCTGTAACTCTGCCATGGTGATGCTATCATCCTGAGGGTTCACATGAATCCAGAGAACATCAGCGATGGAACGCTCCTGAACCCATCAGTCACATCTTATCGGCTACTGGAGGAAACCGTTGCTCCACTGTATCAGACGAACAAACATTTACGGATGAAATCATTTCCTCAGACGTCGGATCAGTTTTTTGAGCGAACACAGCTGGGATGTCTCCGTCCGTCTCCATGGAGACCCACAACGTAAACACTCTGTTTACTGGCTGAACTAATGCAGAACAAAAGGTCAGAGCAAGCAGGAAGTGACCTCATGTCAGCGGGTGTGTCGGCAGGAAGCAGCTGTCGGTGTCGGGTGACATCATGTTGTCCAGCGTCTCCAGGACGACCTGCAAGGACAGAGTCATGTGACCACAGCTGTTCCGTTTCCAGGAAATAGTCAGAGCCGGACTCTGAGCTGTGATTTCTGCGGTGGATTATTTTCTGGATCAACCAGTCGGCGTTAAAAAGTCAGAAAATGGTGAAAAATGTGGATCAGAGTTTCCTCATACAGGAAAGAAACCGGGAAACACTACTGCTGTTATATCAAACAGCGACTGAAGCTGATGAGCCTGTCCATCTGACTCAGGTTCACCTGGACAGGTAACCAG